AGCTGCTCATTGGCGTAGTTGATACAGAACTGCTCGAAGCTGTTCCTCTCGAAGTCTTCAAATCCGAAGATGTCCAGGACCCCGATGGACAGGCACTGGGAGAGATAGAGAAAATGGTCACTGCCCGCAGGTGCCCCCTGTGGGAGCCAGCCTTCATGAGAGGGGCTGGCTCTACAGGCTGTGACCTGTTAGGTCCTGAGTCCCCACTGCTCGGCAGAACACTTTGCCATTACCAGCATGGAATCCATACTTTTTTTTTTGAGGCAGGGTCTTGCTCTGTTGCCCAGGTTGGAGTGCAGTGGCGCCACCACAGCTCACTGTAGCCTTGACCTCCTGGGCTCAAGCAATCCTTCTGCCTCAGCCTCCTGAGTAGCTGGGACCACAGGTGCATGTCAGAATCTGTCGTTTTTGAATAAGGAGCCCTGTTTTCATTCTGCCCTGGGCCTGAATTTTGTAGCCTGTCCTGTTTCCTGGTCCTGCCTGTTGGGGGAAACAGCCTCTTGACTACAGATGCCTCGGCTCCGGATGTTCTGGGTTGCCCACCAAGGATGTTGGTAGTGAGGATGTGGCCTCCCCTGACCTGGCTTGAGGGAGGAAATGGGGGCACTCACCGAGACTGCCTCTTCCACGTCCTTCTTGTTGAGGAGTGCGTGGTTGATCCGCAGCACAATCCAGTCGAACAGGGCACTGTACAGAGACTTGGCCATGGAGTCGCGGGCAGTGATGGCCTATGGACACAGAGCGGGTGGCTCACCTCCAGCACGGCAGGCCCTGCACTGGAGTCTTGCTCTGTCGCCCAGACTGGAGTGCAGTGGCACGATCTTGGCTCATTGCAGCCTCCACCTCCTGGGTCAAGCGATTCTCCTGTCTCAGCCTCCCAGGTAGCTGAGATTACAGGTACACACCACCATACCTAGCTAATTTTTGTATTTTTACTAGAGACGGAGTTTCACTATGTTGGCCAGGCTGGTCTCAAACTCTGACCTTAGGTGATCCGCCTGCCTTGGCCTCCCAAAGTCCTGGGATTACAGGCATGAGCCACTGTGCCTGGCCAAGATGGCCCTTGGTATATATATTTTTTTGACATAGGGTCTCACTCTGTTGTCCAGGCTGAAGTGCACTAGTACAATCTTGGCTCACTGCAAACTCCACTTCCTGGGCTCAGGTGATCTTCCTGCCTCAGCCTCCTGTGTAGCTCGGGCTACAGGCGCACAACACCACACCTGGTTAATTTTTACTTTTTTTTTTTTTGAGGTGGAGTCTTGTTCTGTCACCCAGGCTGAAGTACAGTGATATAGTCTTGGCTCACTGCAACCTCTGCCTCCTGAGTTCAAGTGGTTCTCCAGCCTCAGCCTTCTGAGTAGCTGGGATTACAGGTACACACCACCATGCCTGGCTAATTTTTGTACTTTTAGCAGAAAGGGGTTTCGCCATGTTGGCCAGGCTGGTCTCGAACTCATGGCCTCAAGTGATCTGCCCACCTCAGCCTCCAAAAGTGATGGGATTACAGGCATGAGCCACCGTGCCTGGCCTTAATTTTGAATTTTATTGTGGAGACGGGGGTCTCACTATGTTGCCAAGGCTGGACTCAAACTCCTGGGCTCAAGCAATCCTTCTGCCTTGGCCTCCCTAAGTGTTGGGATTACAGGCGTGAGCCACTGCAACCAGCCAAGGTGGTCTCTGTCAACACTCAACTCATCCAACACACACCTTTCACCCTGTCCTGGAGGACGTGCCTGCACACTGAGGCGTTAACAGACCCAGTGGCCTCTGGAATGGCCGTGGAGGCCTTTCCATACACTCCTCAGAGCAACCAAAATTGCTGCTGAGTGAGGAACTTGGGCTCGGGGAGGGGGTGGGGCGTGCAATTGTGGTAGAACCAGCAAGGAGGGTCTAACTAACTTCAGGCCCCTTGTTTTTCCAGGGGCACCATGTGGCTATCACCATGTGCATCAAAGCTCTTTTGTGGCCGGGCGTGGTGGCTCACGCCTGTAATCCCAGTACTTTGAGAGCCAAGGCGGGTGGATACCCCGTCTCTACTAAAAATGCAAAAAACAAACAAACAAACAAAAAAAACCAGTCTGGGCACAGTGGCTCAAGCTGGTAATCCCAGCATTTTGGGAGGCCGAGGCGGGTGGATCACCTGAGGTCAGGAGTTCGAGACCAGCCTGACCAGCATGGTGAAACCCTGTCTCTACTAAAAATACAAAATTAGCCGGGTATGGTGGCACACGCCTGCAATCCCAGCTGCTCAGGAGGCTGAGGCAGGAGAATTGCTTGAACCCGGGAGGCGTAAGTTGCAGGAAGCCGAGATTGTGCCACCGCACCCCAGCCTGGGCAACAAGAGCGAAACTCTGTCTCAAAAACAAAATAAAAATAAAAATGCAAAAATAATTAGCCAGGCCTCGTGGTGCACACCTGTAATGCCAGCTACTCAGCAGGCTGAGGCATGAGAATCACTTGAACCTGGGAGGAGGAGGGTGTAGTGAGCCGAGATAGTCCCACTGCACTCCAGCCTGGGCAAGAGTGAGACGTTATCTCAAAAAAAAAAAAAAAAAAAAAAAAGCTCTTAAGGTCCAATCTATATAGAATAAATTGTCTTTTTTTTTTTCACATATTCAGGTCGCAACTCTGACAGATGTATTCAGCGACAGACAAGATCTAGAATGTGTCCCCTTCGTTTTGTATTTCTTGGGTGTCAAGAAAATGGAGCCACACAGAATGCAGCCCCTGTTGGGCACCTTTGGCTCTGCGTGGAGCCTCTCGGGGCACCAGTGCTGCTCGGGTCTTGGGTGATGTGCAGCAACTTCCCGGCAACATCACGTGGTGCCCTGGACCCATGTAGGCTCAGAATGTCCCCGGTGCCTGTTTGAAATGCCACAGCAGCTTCCCATCGGGTGGGGGGCTAAAAATCCCCATCGTGACTAGGTACTTCCCTGTTGTTAAACAAGCTGCAAGTGATCCTGCTCTTGAGATGTAAAAATGCAAGAGAAATACAGCACAGAGAAAACATCCAGGCTGGGGCAAAGACCAGAGGGAGGCACCTTAACAAGGTTTAGAGTCACCGGCTTGAGACTTATAGGCTGGGAGTTACATAAGGGTAGTCAGTGTCATGTTCCGGAGTCCAGGGATGGGCAAATTTTTTTCTGGAAGGGACCAGGGAGTCATTATTTTTGGCTCTGGGGCCTGATGTTCTCTGTCGCAACTGCTCTGCTTAGCTGCTATGGCCCCAAAGCAGTCTTAGGTGGTATGTAAATGAATGGGTATGGCCATGTGCCAATAAAACTTTATTAGCAAAACCAGGTGGAAGGCTGGATCTGGCCAACTATTGCTGGTGAGAATCAGCACACACACGGAACATATAGAAACATAGATATGAATGCATGTGGCTCAAGTTCTGGCCTGGGGGCCATGGTTTGTGTCCCAGGCTGGCCTGAACTCACATGACAATCAGAGGCACTGCCTGGGTTCCATTCTAGCATTTCAGGGACAGGAACGGCCCACTCACGCCAGCTCTTTCCAAAGACCATTCCCGCTTGGGTTTTGGGGTCTGGCACTCTGTGAGTGCCTGGGCAGTGCTCACCTCGCTGAGGCTGTAGGGAAGGATGAGCTTGTCGTTGACGGTCACCGTTTTTCTTTTGGTCAGAACCTCCACCAAGATTTCTCGCTTTACCTGTTTGGAGGTCAAGGAGAGGGAGAAGGAAAAGGGAGATGGAGGGCATATCAGGCATGTCCTGGTGTCACTGAGGCAAGGCCCGGGGCCTGAGGCAGCTGGGAGACGGACCCTCAGCAGCCAGGCCTGGAAGTGGGCCCTGAAGCCTGCCCACCCACCCACGATGTGCTGTTTTTTTTTTTTTTTTTTAGACAGAGTCTCACTCTATCGCCCAGGCTGCAGTACAGTGGTGTGATCCTGGCTCACTGCAAACTCCGCCTCCCGGGTTCAAGCGATTCTCCTGCCTCAGTCTCCCCAGTAGCTGAGGTTACAGGCGCCTGCCACCATGCCCAGCTAATTTTTGTATTTTTTGTAGAGATGGGGTTTCTCCATGTTGGCCAGTTGGTCTCGAACTCCTGACCTCAGGTGATCCGCCTGCCTGGGCCTCCCAAAGTGTTGGGATTACAGGCATGAGCCACTGCGCCTGGCCTGCGATGTTGTTTTACACTTGGCAGGTTTCAGAATTCCCACATAGCATGGGCTTGCCGGATGCTCACTCCGTGGCCCGGGTATGTGCGCGCACAGGCCTTATGTGAGTGTGAGCCGTGGGTCCAGGTGGCGCCCGGTGACCAGCACTCACTGCTTTGCCTGTTGGAGCTGGTGGCTCCCATCCATTGCACAGGGGCTGGGCTTAGACCTTACCCAGACAGCCGACATGCTCATCCCTCCCCCAACTGCCAAGCTACCTGAGCTGGTGGTCTCTGCCCACCAGCAGCAAGAGTGGGGAATAAGCGGGGGCCTTCTCTCTCTCTTTTTTTTTTTTTACATGGAGTCTTGCTCCGTCGCCCAGGCTGGAGTGCAGTGGCGCAATCTTGGCTCACTGCAACTTCTGCTTCCCGAGTTCAAGTGATTCTCCTGTGTCAGCCCCCTGAATAGCTGGGACTATGGTGTGCGCCACCATGCCCAATTAATTTTTGTATTTTTAGTAGAGATAGGGTTTCTCCATACTGGTCAGGTTTTGGGGCCTGATGTTCTCAAACTGGTCTCGAAGTCCTGACCTCAGATAATCCACCTGCCTCAGCCTCCCAAAGTGCTGGGATTACAGGCGTGAGCCATCGTGCCCGGCTGGCAGGGGCTTTCTCTGAATATCCCAGCAGATGCTCACATATCCCCAGGAACTCAACAGAAGCTGGGGCTCCTGTACCAAGAATGGAACGCTAAGCATAAATGGATTAAAACACAAAAGACTGGGGTAGGGTTCCTCGGCCTCACTGCCTTTTGCATTTGGGGCTGGATAATTCTCTGCCGGGGGGGGCTGTCCTGTGCACTGCGGGGTGTTGAGCAGCATCTATGGCCTCTACCTAGCAGATGCCAGGAGCAACCCAGAGTATGGAAACCAGAAAGGTCTCCAGCCATTGCCCAGTGTGTCCTGGGGGCACAGCTGCCCCTGGCTGAGAACCAGTGGAGGAGGAAGGGATGGCAGGTCCAATGAGAAAATGATCAAACCAGAAGTTTTTGTTTTTTAAGAGATGGGGCCTTACCCTGTCACTCACCCCAGCTGGAGTGCAGTGGCACGATCACAGCTCACTGCAGCAATGAACTCCTAGGCTCAAGTAATCTTCCTGCCTTGGCCCCCTGGGTAGCTGGGATTACAGGAGCACACCATCAACACCTGCACGCAGCCCCAAGCTATAGTTTTTTTCTTTCTTTGAGACAGAGTGTTGCTCTGTCGCCCAGATTGGAGTGCAGTGGCACAATCTTGGCTCACTGCAGCCTCTGCCTCCCAAGTTCAAGTGATTCTCGTGCCTCTGCCTCCCGAGTACCTTAGACTATAGGCACGTACCACCATGTCTGGCTAATTTCTTTTTGTATTTTTAGTAGAGATGGGGTTTCACCATGTTAGCCAATCTGGTTTTTTTTTTTTTTTTTTTTTTTTT